GATTGAAATCTTGGTTTGGGGTTTCTTTGTTTGGTTATGGAGGCGTCTGGCCGAGTAGATTGCTATCAACTTGACCTTTCCAGGCTCTGAAGAAGGCGAAATCCGCCGAAACGTCAGCTTAATCGTGAACAAAGAATAATAACACCTCGCGTTTGCTCAACAAAAATACGAACAAAATCACTTGATCAATGCTGAGGTTAATAGAAAGTCGGTCGTGGCATTTTTACTTAGTTGGTACTTGATACTTCAATGACCCGTCCTCCTTGGTTGTGGGTGCCCCAGTATAATCACCACTTTTCGGAGACCTGCTGCTTGAGCCATTGTGGCTTCTTCGAATCGCTAGGTCAGCCTGGCCAATATTTCCTTCAGGTCTTCACCACCACAGGCAGTCGCAGCCCTTGTGGATCAGAGGGAGATTTACCACCATGTAACTTTGATACCAGCACGGTGGTGGATCCTGGTATTGGTTCACTCTTAGCTAGGCTTCCTGATGAAAACCTCGGACTCCTTCTGAGCTTGGGAGACCCTGCCAGGGGATCAATCCACTGCTGTACATCGCAGCCCGACACCCATAAACACCTCCCGGCCACGATGACGCGGTAAACCGTTGGGAGGTTAGTCACTTTTGAACATCTCAAATCTATCCATAATGAATTAGGAGCTCATTTCAATATTCATACACTCTTTGGATTCGCCTGCTAACGGTGCCCTTGAAAATAACAAGCAGCTGGTGCTTCACATGCAATTTACGCGTAAGCCGTGATCTCCTACATCTGGAACTACAGGAAGGTTTGGAAAGATTCGCGAACAATTAATTGTCAACGCTTTTTTGAAGAATCTCCTTCTTGAGTGATTTTTAGTTTTCACAAAGGAAATCACAAAGGAAGTCAATGAGAAAGGTAGAAAACAACAAGCCGCCTCACTCAGCTTCTTGATGTATGGTATTGTTTTCACACCTAACCTAGGGGAATGAAAACCATTAACAAATTTCGCTCGTTTTCTTCCAGCATATCTGGAGAGAACATTGTGTACCAGCTGATTGCCAAATTACTTATGTGAATTATACTCTTCGAAATATTGGTGCTCGCCGAAGTGTAACACAATCGTTGAATAGAACCAATCATTCAAGAATGACGATAGGCACCGAGTTTCGACAAACCTTACGAATCCTCTCATCCGAATATCCAAGCGACAGATCTGAAATATTTCTCAAACAAAATAGGCAGTTTTCCAGTCGAACCACAAAAACTCACTGCACAACACTCTGATTCTATTTTTTGCCAAACGTTATCATTAAGAGTAAAAGCATTTCATCCAACTTTAAAGTCTTGGCGCTAGCTTATAAAATACTCTTTTCAAAGGGACAACAGAATATCTATGAATTTTGTAATTAGAACAACACCAAGAATAACTCTCATTTTTTGACTACCCACCATGCACGCAGAGAAAACTGCTACAGTAAATCGCCATGGTAGATGCTTTGCCATGACAGACCAATAAAGACCGAAATTCATCAAGAACTGACATTGAAGAAGCGATGGCTAAGCGGACAAACTGGCAAAAACGAGACAGCCATCGTTTGAAGGTTGCTCATAGAAGAATAGTAGATTTCTCATTCCCAACAACATTTCGTGACGGAACTTCTTCGCGAATGACAAGAGTCTCGTCTTCTAGTTAGTGGATTTCCGAATTTTTGTTTTACGTCCCTTTTAAGTATATTATATGTAATTTTACGACCTGTGGCTTCAAAAAAAAAAGTGAGGATGGGTGCATCAAGGAAATGTTCTGATGTTTCTGGTAGACAGTAGAAAAGTTTCCATGATTTGCCGTGGACGTTTTGGTTTGATTCCACTGACATCCTACACATCATCCTCACAGTGGCTGTCTCACTTCCCAACGTTTTAGGTGAGATCACCAAATTGTGAGGTACTAACGTTGTGTGGAATAGTTGCGAACGAAAAGATCTTCCATTAAATCGTTGTCAGAGACTTCAATGCTAGACTACGAAGGGCCAGCGAGAACGAATACATTATGAAGAAACAGAATGGAAACCCTCACACAGGGCTATCATCCACAAGATGTCTCTTCTATGGAAACTTCTTCTTCAAGAAGAATCCCCGTTGGACCATAACGGATGCGGCTCAAGCGGAGACTGAGTATGTCCTCGTAAACAGTGTTTCTTTAACACCTACATAGTGCTGTCATCCTGTACTGGGTCTGAGCACCATCTTGTTCGTGCTCATCATCAAAGAAAAAAAAGTCGAACATGATGAGAGAACTCACCCCAAATTTGTCTTTCTGACGTTCGAACTTCAATCAAGAGCACCATAAAAGGCACAGCTATATTACAGCCCACTTAATTCAACTAGAAGCCACAAAATCACACGCGCGTCACCCTTCCAATGATAATAAGAGGATAAAGCTCTCAGCGTTTATCAATCCCTGAGAGATGCGCCATACATTCGACTTAATGACTCGTAGTGGCCTACCGATGTATCAAACCAGTGTTGGTATCCTCCCAGACAAGTTTGGTACCAATTTCCCGACCCCGGAGAGATGAGAGGCTTGGTTGACCAGGAGCGGAATCAAACTAGCACCATGCTCATGATGACCAACGTCACTACTCCATGAATGGAACAAGTTTTTAGCTAAAATAAATCGTATATATTCACCTTGCAGATCACGGGATGATACTCGCCCATGTTGCCATTCTCAAAACATGCTAGATACGAATAAAAAGAGTGTAGGGTCCAACACAATTCGTGCAGGCGATCCACCCAAGTTTCCGAGTAATTTGGAGCATTCATAGGCAAAATAAGTTGACTTTAGTGCATAGACATTAATTTGTTATTAATTAATTAATTTACTTTATGACCCACTGTGCGGGTTCCAGCACTTTGTGCATTCGATTCGCTTTGCTAACTCTCATCGGCCGCAAAGGTCTTCGAACAGCTTTGTGTGTTGTTTCCGCTGCTGCTTGAGAATTTCGTCTTCTTCATGAATGTCCTAGTAAAAGCTAAGAAGGTGCGACACAATCGAGCACACAGGGACCATAAGACACCAGCGCTTAAACGATATGGTAGTACCAGATTTCTTGAAGCCTTCAAATGCAGAAAAATCGTAGGAACTGGTACGTTCGTCAATGCGACCATGGCGAGCAGTGATACAGTGATCAACAAGTATTTCCTCAATGTGTTTACGAAGGAATCATCAGCATGATCCTACATGTGTAAAAAATATACTTTCCCGAAATTCTTTACACGAACTGATATCGGACATTGTGCGAATCCCAGCATGTCAGGCACTCGATCCTGAAATTTCCTAGCATCCAACACCTCCAGAGGCCTTCAAACGTTGCGTGTGGACCCGAGTATTGTGCAGTATATTTTTCAATTTTTTGTGAACGTCACCGAGTACTGGTCTAGTCGATTCCTCTAGGAATACTTGAAAAGCCATGCTATGTCGTCCTCATATCTTCATCACAAGCAGTCATCAGCTTTTGTGGATCAGATCAATCCAATTGATCGCAGAAGCCCTGAGCCCCGGAGATATGAGGCTTAGTGGATTCAGAGCAACGTCGAATAAGGGCTGTGTGCTCGTAATTAATTGCACCACTACCACTGCACTACTTGTCTCGCTTTTACTTTAATGAATCAACGACTGATGAAAATAATTAACCACCTAAACTCATGATCAGCCGTTTCAAACTGCCAGTTTTCGATTCCAGCGCATGCATCCGCAACTTGGTACGTGGCAGGTAGGCAGCAAGTAGTGAACAGCTCCCATAGTCTACTGACAACGACTCAAGCAAGCAACAAAATCATGTCCATCGCTGTATTGACAATATATTTATGCTAATATGCAACTTGTTCTCAAGACTGTACCTTAAAAGCGGAATGGAAAATTTGCAACCTATATGATATGCAGCGCAGGGGTCGCAGGCGCCCTGCAATACATATGAGATCGACCCCCGCGCCCCAGGTCCACCAAACCCTCCATCCTTCCGGGGTCGGCAAATTGGTGCCAGACTTGTCTGCGAGGATGGTAGCACTGGCTCGATATGTCGATAGGCCACCACGAGTCATTGTCATGTAAAGGCCAGATATGCATTCAGTCACCTCCAACTATGCTTAATGAGGTCTAAGGCATGGCGCATACCTCAGGGAGTAATCAACGCCAACAGCTTTGTCCTTTATCCTTTATATGACTTACAGCTGAGAGAAGCATTTATGGGCAGGTCTATTAGTCATACCTAAAACAACGTCCAAACTAAGAAAACATTAGAAATAGTATGCTCATGAAATATGCAGTCATATAATTTATGTGGAGTAGACGTGCACATGAGAAACGGACTACATAATAAGATCAGCCCATTTGAGTGGTATGTTGCTAGAAATATGTGGTCAATTGCCACATAACATTGTAAAGTGGAGGAAAAACTGTTTTGAGTAAACTAAGAAGATGAGTAGTTGAATAATAGATTCGTCGCATACATAAACGAATTCGGTAAATTAAACCCGTGATTATCTCCTTCACCCTCCTCTTCCAAATTAACTTAGTTTGAATAGCTCATATCAAAATAGCTCTGATTATTATGGACTAAGATCCATCATGCTCAAGACTAGATCATGCGTCTATGATGGACGTCGTGTTCAGAACAGCTGAACAAAGCAAACGATATACCAAACGCGTCCAGAAACCAAGCACACCTAGAAGTGTCCGAATGAAGCCTATTGGTGCCTAGGTGGCATATTATAAAGTGACTGATCGTCTCATCTTTAAGTGAAAACTCGTTCCTTAATTGATAAGCTCTCCAGAAATAGCATATTGACAGGAAACGATTACACAAACATTCCGAACAAAATAGTCAAACGTAATCATCTAAATTTTGCATATGTCCTTCATATAAGAAAGAATATGTACATCACAGAGAAAACATTCAGCAATAACGTTTAACATCCAAACCCGTTTTAATAACATGGAGATTGTTTGTACAATCCCTAATGTCGGAACGTGAAATGATCCATTATTTCCTTGTCCATGTCAGCGAGTAGGTTGGCTACATCAAGACGAACGGCATTATGCTTTTGAATTTGAGCTTTCATCTTTAGATCACACTCTTCCTCCGCTCTAAAACTGGTCACAGTCAAGGTTAACAAAGTTAACGAACTTGATGTATACATCTTGCTCTAAATATGCCAAATAATTAATACTCACGCTTTTATTGAGTGGGTTAGGAAATTGAAGTCGTGAAGAATCAAAAATTCTTTCAGGTCATTTGTCAACTTCAACAACTCGTCGCATGCTCTTACCTAAACCATGGAAGTCAGCCTAGGAAAAAGATGTGTCTGAATGCCTTATAATATATTTGCAATACTAACGAATATCTCAACAACAAATAGACTAAGAATACAACTCACCTTACATCACTTAACTACTTACCAGAAAAACCGATATAATACGATAGAGTATGTCTTTGATAAAAGACAAACTTTTCCTGAGAATTCTCGTCAACCAATGGGTACATTCCAAGAGAAGTTTGTCACGGTAATATTTCAACTTCTAGAAAGCGAAAAGAGGTAAGGCAAGTAAATAAACTCACGATGAGGGCAGCACGCACAGCCATTTCATTTTTTATTGTGTAGTATTCCGTCATTTTACAAATATTTTTATGAGCGGCATCGTCTGTGCTGATCTACAAAAACGCCGTAATACAAGGACATTTTGTTAACTTTTTATTTGCTGCCTAGTACAGTTTTTCACGGCAGGGTATTATGTGAAATACAACCACAATGAAGCCGAGATAATTGCAAAACTCCGGACCGCAGGTGTCTGCACAGTGGCCAACGAACGCGCTATAATCATTTTCGGGAGCTAACGCATTTATCGCCACATCATACGGGTCCTTCGTTTCGCCTTTCTCTCAACTAAGGATAAAAAAAGGATAAAGGAATGAAAAGAGTGTTTAAAAAGATATTTTCATAAAATCTCAACTAGAACTGATCCCACAAAATCTCGAAAAAACTTCCTAACACTCTCGCGACGACGCCTAACATTCAGCCGTTATGGACTTGCTGGTTTCTTGAAAATAAACAATAATTTTTCGACAATTTGAGGACTTCGTGGGTTGTAACGATTAATGGATTGTAGAAAAGACTTTTCTCTATCGTTTAGCAGCTATAAACGATATCCTTGGTGCTATTTTCTATATGTCACCATAGGTCTACCATACTGTTAACATTTGGAAGTGCTTTGCAAATAGCAATTGGAATTCAAATAGTAGCCGATTGGTAACCAAGTTTCTGGTTAGTGAACTCGTTTGGAAAACGGTTTCTTGGATTTTTCTAAGTCTAGGATACAGCGTTTCCCGACCAACGCCCAATACAACATCTCTGTTCTACAAGCTATCACCTGATAACCAAATTATAGGAAAAATATTTTTATGTGTTAAAACAAACCATTGGGAGGAAAATGAGACCTATAGGTGTCAGGCCACTCCCGCAAAACCACTATTACATCTATGGGTGTCACTCATCTCCAGGGTGTTAAATGGTGATCAAGTTGTCCATTCCAAATAGAACAAAACGTTACTCGTGCAACGAATGGTACTTCTACGCTAACATGAACATGTGGTATCATGAGCAGAGCATGGAGCAAACTAACCAAAGTATGAACAATAAATTACCTTAGTAGCGTTCAAAATGTTGATGAAGTTGTCGTTGAGCGAGCGAATGTTGTCGCGAAGCCTACGTTTGTACTCTTGGATGATCAGCGTTTTAGTGGCCACGGACCGACTGCTGCTTTTCTTGCCAACTCCGCCAACGCCTGACATCTCTGTAACATCCAAGATGAAAGGCGACACATAGGAAGGTTAAATGAGCCCCCTCCGTACCAGCACGGTTCTGGGGAAGGGGAAATCGCCGAAACGTCAGTCATCGACCAACAACAGCAGCGAACGACAACCTATACCAACCTCGCGCCAGCTCAACAAGATCAGTTCGTAATCGTAGGAACATGTAAGTAAAGATAAAAACTTTTCCAATCAAATGTAAAGATACATCCGTCAATGTGAACGTTAACCGCGAGAGCATAAGGCCGACTGTATATGAATGTTTTCCAACACATTGGTTTCGCACAAGGCCAGAAAGCTCACGTTCTAGGTCATAAGTACAGATGACGTAGGCTCGGCCTCACTACTCACTTCAGTTGGGCAGCGAGCGTAAACTGGCATTCAAAAAACGAACTCTAAGTCTTATTCTTGTTAATCCCTGGGTAGCAAACGCAAAAGTACTGCAGCATAGGTAGAGAGAGATGAGAGATCAAGATCATCACGAAAGATTCCTAGACCCACAAAGACAGGTGGAATTCGTGAGTGCATTTTGCAGGTCTATGCGATTTTTCTCCTAGAACCGAAGAGTGGGGCCCAGCAACGAGGCTTAAAAGCTGTATTTAACCCTGTACTCATCTTCTGAAGAAACCACTTCCTGTCCATCCGCCTTGAGTCCATAGAAAACCCCTCAGAAGGATCTATTATTCAAAGCTAACCAATGTTAAAAAAAACTGGGAGCTGTTCTGAAAAAGCTATAGTGGACCTCCCAGTCAGGAAGTTAAATCTCCCAACACGAAATTAGACGTAAGATAAAGAACAGTTAGAGAAACTGCAGAACGCGCCCATTTTTGTCGTCTAGTTTCTTTTACCTCCTATCCAGCCTAGGAAAATAGAAAAGCTGATTCCTTTTGTTTCAAAATGTTCCCAAAGTGGTTTTACTTACAAGATTCGGTGTATCTGTTATGCTGTTCCTAACAAGGCAACCTTCTTCGTAGAGTTCTGTCACTTGCATTCTATACGCGGCAAAATCTCGTATTTGTTGTAGGAAATGTTTCGTGTCCAACAGAATCCAACCACTCCGCCAATCAATACTCGGATCCCTGTCATCGACACGATTTACAACAATCCATTTTACTGGTACGTTTTCACAGCATCGTCACCTCACGTCCTTTAGTTTTTACCAGTTCGAAAGCAGGTGTACTATTCGTTGTTGGAGAGTTAAAATGTTTCTTCCCGACGCTTCTACGCATTCGCTGTAAAATCATATTCTGTAAAATTTTTTAAAAGTATTCTGACCATGTAAAGTTAGCTTTCCCTTTGATCGAGCAAATTTTCATTGTAATCATGGAGATATCCGGGCTAAGGCGTTTCCACGTGGATCGGATGAGAATGTTTAGGACAGGTTAGCACAGTGGTTAGTGATGCCGTCGATCAGCAATCAACGGCGCTTGTTCGATCCTCACCCAAGCAGTTTTCTTGTGGTCGTAATCATTCCCACTTCTTTATTTTTAAACAAAGAGAGTGATTTCGTTATTTCAAGGAATTGTAATAAGTAATGAAAAATACATTTTACCAACCATGATGGCCTTTCTCTGGGTCACACTGTGTGATTGATTAGAATTATGTAAGCATATATATATATACGTGTATATGTTTTGCATATATATGTACACTGTACATTTGCTTTCTTGGATGGCCCATCTTCATTGGTTGTGCGGACTCCAGCATAACTTCCCTTTTTTTAGAGTATTGCTAGTTTAGCCATTGTGGTTTCCCGCAGTTCCGAGCTCAGGCTATCTAAAGTCTACTCCAGGCCATCGCCATCACAGACAGTCGTCGTCAGTGTGGCTCAGAGGGAGATGTGCCACCATGCGACTAGTTTGATAGCAAGACGGTGGTGGATCTTTGGTGTTGATTTGCTCTTAGCTGTGCTTCCGGGTGGAAAGGCCTAACTCCGCGCAGCCCAACACCCAGGAACACCTTTCAGCCACGACGAGGCGGTAGACCGTTAGGAGGTATATATATATATATATATATATATATATATATGCATATATTTATGTATATACTTGTATATATGTGTATATATACGTATATATACATATATATACGTATATATATATATATATATGTTTATGTATATACATATGTCTATATGTTCAAAATTTTATTCATAAACCGTGTATTTTTTCCCTAAATGANAACACCTTTCAGCCACGACGAGGCGGTAGACCGTTAGGAGGTATATATATATATATATATATATATATATATGCATATATTTATGTATATACTTGTATATATGTGTATATATACGTATATATACATATATATACGTATATATATATATATATATGTTTATGTATATACATATGTCTATATGTTCAAAATTTTATTCATAAACCGTGTATTTTTTCCCTAAATGATTTTATCCTTGGCCGGTAGTTTTTTCCTTTGAGTCTGGCAGCATTTTCAATCCATTACTATGATTTTCTTTTAAGATAACTGCCTGTCATGTGCTATTTTCAGCACCGATTTTCATTTGTCCGAAGCATGAATAATGAATATCTTGACTTTTTTCATTTACTTCATTCGCAACCCGTTCGATTGATTTCGTGGCATATACTCTAACAACTTTAACATTCAATGTCCTAATCCATAGGAAATTGAAGACAGTTTCACATCTTTTTATGTTACTACATTTAAAAGATTAACTTTCACTCTCCTTTCGTTGAAACTTGCGTAGTAGACATCATTACGACGAGTTTACCCTTTGCTATATGTTAGAATTATATTAGGGAAATGTAACTGCTATCTCGTTCTCTTCCGACATTTTGATATCCTTCCCTGGAATTTGCTGGTAGGTGTGGAAATGCCACAAGTATGTATATATAGATATAAATATAAATGTAAATATATATATATATACGTATACATGTGCGTATGTATGTACATTCTGTATATATGTTATATATATACATATATACATATGTATATATTTATATATATACTGTACAGGGCTCGTGTAGCGCAGTGGTTACAGGTGCTCTGCAATACACATGGGATCGATCCTGCTCCGAAGGCTCCCCAAGCCTTCTATTCGTCGGAGGTCGGCAAATTGGTACCAGACTTGTCTGGGAGGAAAGCAGCACTGGCTCGATACATCAGTAGGCCACCGCGAGTCATTGTATAAGCCAGATTTGCATTTAAATCACTTCCAACGATGCTTAATGAAGTTGAATGCATAGTACATCTCTAAGGGATTGATCAACGCCGAGGCTTTATCCTATATGTGGATATGTACATTTATGTTTATGTATTCAGTTGCTTTCTGTCATAACCACTTAAAATTGTTGACATAGCCTCCACGAGGATTTGTTGTAATCGACCAATCTGTCGTGGTGGAGAAAAGGTTTCTTGAAATGTTTCTTGAAGTACGACTCACTGTTAGAAGGTGACTGGTCAATAGTCTCGTTTTTCACAGATCAGTTATCAAAAAATGTATTGTACCAGTCAAAATTTATGCTGCAGTTTCCAATATTTAAGGTCGACGTTCAAAGGACTCATCGGCTTTGCGGTCGGCGTTGTAGTGGCTCGTAGTGTCAGCGAATGGTCGCTGTCGGCAACGTGAATGTTTGTTCCTTTGGAAGCAGGCAGTGGCTTTCTTTCGGTTCCGATTCACTCAGGACCAGTTACTCTGCACAAAACCTTTTTGATCACGTGTTATTGTTCTGTGGATCATGAATAAATAGGGTATTTCAAGTCTCTGTTAAAGCTTCTTTGCATCAGTTGATTTTTTTAACGTAAACTTTAAGAACGCCGAATATGCATATATATTTTTGCATATTGACAACGACATGGCTCCCATATGACTGATGCGTCCCAGGGAAAATTGTCGTGAGTCCCATGTGACTCAAGTTGTTCTCGACCATTTACCACACGACTTTTTGCTGCCCATTTTATAAGCATTCTATAGCTTATCCAACGCATATTATAGCAAGTGGAGGCCGATTAACGCTCTATTCTACGATTTTATCTAATCATGTACAAGAAATCTTTGGACGATCCCCCACTAATCAATGTTTTGTATTTTGTCGGGAAGAGCCCCTTCACAAACATTACGTAGTCTCAAGTCTTATTCTCACAGTCATTTGCTGATATTTTGACGTTATATTCTAAAACATTTACATTGTGGTCTCCAATTTTTGCAATAGGCATCTTTCTGGCCATAAGCTTTTCTATTACACAAAAGAAGAGTTGAGAGTATCAAAATCATTGGACAGTACATAGAAGACCTTGAAAAATACGGAGGAAGTGCAGGCCAATGAGTTTCTTTTTATCTCTCCAACAGTGTTTGGTTCCTATGAGTTCCCTCCGCTTGAATATTTCAGATTTTTCGTTAACGAACAGCACAACAGATTCCATCAGTTCGTTCTTGATAAACAGTCGTTTCGAAATAAAACACTTCGTCAACCATCGACTTTATTGAAGTCTGTGTTATAACTGACCGTTGTTTCATTTCAAATCGCTATAGCGATTCAAATCCACCGTATGAGAATAAAAACGGAGGAAAACGTATGTTTTAAATATTTTGTAAAACCTTAGCAAATGTTGATAGCAATGTGACTGTGACTGAATAGTGAACGAGTTTCATTTCATCATTTACAAGAATTGGATATGTCCCGAAAGAATGGGAAGGTACTCAGAAGACATGTAGGAGAAAGGATAAAGTTCTCGGCTTTGATCAATCCCTGAGGGATGCGCCATGCAGTCGACTTGATTAAGCATCGTTAGAGGTGATTGAACGCATATCTGGCCTTTGCAATGACTCGCAGCAGTGTACCGATGTATCGAGCCAATGCTGCTATTCTCTCAGACAAGTCTGGTAACAATTTGCCGGCCTCAGGGAAATGGAAAATTTGGTGAGCCTTGGGAGCGGGATCCCGTGTATTGCAGAGTGCCTATAACCACTGCCACACGCGCCCAAAGGGTACGAACGATGTGAAAAATACAGCGGTTATGCAGAACACAGGAAAGCTGAATGCGAAATTTGTAACAGAAGGGACGGAGCTACTCCGTGTGAGGAGGCGCTTTGGTCGGCATGATCCACGTGATCCATCGCGGTAGCGACCGAAAACTATCGTCGTTTGCGCCCTCCATATAATATTAGGAATTGTGGCCAATCTGTTTTGGCTAAACCTCCGATGTTGGTTTTTCGACAAGCGTAGTCGAGGGGTGGAAAATTAAGTATGGTATAAAAAAGTGAAATCGTTGAAGAAAGGTTTACTCTTATTGGTAAGGATCTGGTGAACCTTGGAGTGAATTAATGATGTTAGTCATGAACCGAGGTGTACTTGTATAAAGTTGAAAGGCGCAGTTATCTCCGGGTGCATATGAACCTGTCACATGATCCCTACTGGCATCGGTGTCAAAGTAGAAATATGAAGTTGTTTCTGGGCGCACATGTATTGAAACCAATGCATGTCGGTCGCTGTGTGTTGATGAGCCGGTGAAGTGGTCCATTTGGGTGCTAGGGTGGATGGCATGTGTGTTCACGTCCATTAGCGGATTTCCGTCGTGATCCGTGAGGTGGCGTCAGATGACGTGGAGTGGGGCGTGGTCGGGCCGGAGGCGCGGTGGAGGCGCCGTCAGTCCGTCGTCGGCTCGACATGTTCGTCGAGAGCTTCTACGCCCTCTGCATCGCCTGTGCTGCTCTCTACCACTACACTCGGACGTCCGTCGAATCCAACGATGACCCTGGGTTCACTGCTTTTCAGAAGACATACCTCACCGTATACCTAATGGCCGTCGGTTCGTTCTGTGAAATTTATCGTGACGTTATTTGCTTAACAAGTTACTACCTTTCCACTTTCATGTTTTTCCGTGATAGAGTTCGTTCTAGAGTTATCTTGGTAGCTCGGTACTGTATTGTCGTATGCAGTACTTACTTGAAATATGTATCTACAGTTGAAAATATATAATTCTCAGTTATGGATTCAAATCAAACACTTTTAGCCAACACTTGCACCGTTTAGTAGAATCAGTGGTTTGGATGATCTTTCAGCCAGAAAAGACGGTGGACAGTTTTTAGGACTAGTGAGACTCGGCGAAAGTAGGACATCAAGGAGCAATATCTGTTTGCTTCTCTTTTGTTGTCAATACCACATTAAAACAAGTTTATCTTAACATTACATTAAAGCAAAATGTTAAGGGAATATTCCTGCAACGTAGAGTATTTCTACAATGTGTTAGGTGTCCACTCAGTTTCCGCCCTTTTCCTCCTTGGACGGGCTTGGGCGACGAAATCCCGTCACTAATCAACGTCAGATCGTTCAGAACACAATCTGTAGTTGTTTTTGGAGCTAGGGAGGGAACAAATGATATTCAACGGAATTGTCATAGATTGCAATACATGGCTTCTTCCTGTTCTTCTTCCTCTCCAGTTTCTTTTCTTTCTCACTCGTTCATTCGAATGTTTATTCCTTTGTTTACATGATATTAACGAAATAACCAGAGTATGGTGTACTTTTGGAGGATTTTCACATCTATCCATGCCGCTATTCTTTGTGGGAATCAGGTCTCCTTTATCAAATGCGTAGGAAAACACTCCTAGATACACACTGTTGTTGATTTTCGACTGAAATCCACAGTAAATACGGTTCTACTGGAGTTGATTTTTCAATCCATTTTCCCTCAATCATTGCGTCTATCAGTATTTCATATGTCCTTTGAACTTCAATAGTGCATCTAGGACAAGTTAGGTCGGCACATTCTAGACTATTGGAATATCTATGCGTAGATTTCTAGATAACCCAGATTAAAATCTCATCTATTGTTTTGGTGAATGTTTGACCTAATTCAAAAAAATTGAGGGGTAATGAGTGGATGTATTCGGAACAAGTATATAACGGCTATAAAAAAACACCGTCATGATGTCGGTGATTGCGGAGGTGGTTCTTTTGCATGCCGAAGACCGACTGTTGAATGTTGAATATGGCTGTATGGACCAGCATTGCCATATCGCTCTTGCGAGTGCGATTAATCAATTCTAAATGATTTTATCGCATTCCGAAACAGCCAGAAAGAAGTCGAAAGCACATCTTACGAGTAGCAGTGCATCGATTCGCTGCCACATTCGATCTCATTTGCAGTACTTCGTGCTGGATCTTCGATTTATCGACAACAACACGCTTTCCATAAAAAGTAATGCAAAACACTGCCCTTCGTTGTTCATTCACAATGCTCTTCGTTTGAGCGATATCGATTTGGCGCCTGGAAATGGTCCTGGATTTCGTCATTCAGAACGCATTTGAAGCGTTTAGCCAAAAATAGCGGAGCTCAAGGTTCGGATGAAAAACCCTCCCGGATTTCGTATGAATATGCTTACATCGAATTTTATATGATCTTATGCAAAACACTTAACAGTGAACAAGAAGAGTCACACCCCGGATTTTCTTTAGTGAATTTGTCCAAGCGCTCTGTTACGTAGAACGTCAAGAAATACTGAACACTACTCAAAGAGTGCTTGAGCGATGCCTTCTGAAATACGAACAGCACACCGTACATCTAGCCGGAAAGGAAAACGCTGATCTTCGAAACCTATCTCATCATCGAGATCCAGGAGAACACACATCGGTAGCGAAACATAGGTAGGTCAACTATATACTAGGAGGAACGGACGAAAAGAGCTATAGGCTAGACTCCGCGAGGATGCAGTCGTCTCCTAGAAGGATCACCTCGTTTGACGAACGTGTTCGTATCCGAATTCAATCAATTATATTCGCAGCCGCAGTTGTTTTAACGGTCACAATGTGAGACTAGCTATCATATTGGAATTAAACCACCACTACTAAATAATGACGATGACTATGATGTAGAAAAACGAATGAAAGATGTTCTGGAGTCTACACAACTCGCGAAGGACGCCCATTCAGGTCGAAGTCCAAACAGGTCCGTAATATCGTTTACGAAGTTCGAAGGTTCTTACGCGTTTTTGCATGGACAAACAGCATATTTAGGTTTTAATCAGTTTTAACTCGCTCATATTTTGCTAACATCAATCAGAGTTATCAATGGTCAGGAATGGGCCAAAGCTGCTTTTTAATATTCTCAGTAAGCCGTCTATCAAAAATCTTTTCCTTTACTGTTGTAAGTCTTCGTATTTTCTTCATGAGAGTGTTCGCGACGCATTCACGTATGGCTGACTTTTGTGTTGATAGAAAAATCAGAGTTAAAGGTAGAACATACTAGGACCTAATAGGACAAACCTAATAGAACATGCGTAAAAACATATATAGGTCAGCGAGTAGTGATCGTGGATGCCTATGACAGAATGTCAAATAAGCAAGCTTTTTGGAGCACATGCTTAGTATTCCGTTCTTTTGTCTACCGTAATGAATTTGCTTCATTATTTCTGATGCGTGGCTAGAGAGAGTTTATAGTTTATAGAGAGAGAGAGAGTTTATAGTTTATAGAGAGAGAGAGAGTTTAAAGTTCAGTTAATATCCAATTCCTTTAAAATACTACCCGTTTCTACGCAACTGTACACAAACCCTTTTTACGCTGATCTCTACATGTCGTTGTTTTTCATTAACATATTAAAGTGCAAAGCTTTCGATGTCGATGAGTCCTTGAGAGATGCGTCATGCATTCGACTTAGTCGAGCTTCTTTAGGGGTGACTGAATCCATATCTGGTCTGTAGAATGGCTTGTGGTGAAGAACGATGTACGAATTCTGTGCTACTATTCTCCCAGGCAATTCCGGTACCAATTTGCTGACCCCTAAGGGATGGAAGGCCTTGGTAAAAGCCCTGGGTGCAGTATTATGTGGCGCCTCTTAACTACTGCCCCAGACGAGCCCATTAAAACAGTACAAATCGAAAACTAATTCGCCACGCCCAGACTGATCTCTAGATGCTTCTACTGGTGCATTTTATACTTGAAAAACTTAAGGTGAAATAAGTTCTAGCAATACCGAATCAGTAAACGCTACAAAACTACCTATGTTTATTGCTGCCCGAATGAGTATGATTTCTGCAATTTCGATAACGGGCCGTCAAACGAGCTCAGAGTGTCAATTTTCTTGTTTTCTTAGCTGCTGACTGGCTGCAAGGACCACATGTATATGCCCTTTACCAATCATATGGCATGTCCAAGCATGAAATCGAACTGCTGTTCATCGCCGGATTTGGCTCGAGTCTTCTCTTCGGGACATTTGTCGGCTCATTCGCAGACAAATTGTAAGCGTCGAAACTGTATCAGTTGTTTTCATTGTACATGTAGCGAAATTCCTAAGGGTCGTTTCAGTGGCCGTCGTAACAACTGTCTCCTCTACGGTATTCTCTACGGGTTGTCATGTATTACTAAACATTCCACTAGTATAAAAGTGCTGATGATCGGACGACTCCTTGGTGGCATCGCTACCAGCATCCTCTATTCAGCGTTTGAAAGCTGGGTGGTTTACGAACACAATGAGGTAATGGTAAAATGCGTTAAATTTTCTAAAAATAAAACTTCCCCTTATCGTTTTAAGTTTTTACCCTCTGTTCCGGAGAAAATATTATTCTAGGTTTCAATGTTACATATCTTCCTTTACTGTTGTAGTACAAATATTTCCACCAAAATTCTGTGTTCAAGCCAATTTTCATTCAAAATATGGTCCTTCAGTAAAAATTCGGAAGAAATGGGTTAACCGCTAGGCAACGTAGAGGGCTCCCAGGTGGCGGATAGGGGATGATCGCGTACAAACGCGGACTTTGCTTCTTTAAGACGCAGGTGGATCCAAAAGGGTGGACTCTCAGTTTCTACTGGGCCAATTTGGCAAATGTCTTCTATGAGTGCGAGGACGTATTAATGCATAGGCGCGTGGGTGTGCACTTGCTCACGCTGTTTGTATTTTGCGAGTTAGTTCGGTCAAAAGCTTGCAATCAAGTGACAGGAAAGTATTATGTATAGGAAACGGTTAGGAGTCGCTTACAACAAGTAAGCTCTCCGTCTACTTTCGAAGAGAGTGGCAAGCTACCAGTGAGCATACTTAACCCTCACGTTCAGAGCTGAGCAAGCCATACGTGGAGATCGGACTCGCAGTAAAATAGATGGGTTTCATTTCCCTGGAGATCCCTTTACTGCAGCTTTGGCTAGAACGAGTATGAACAGGCTGTTAACATCTCAGGGTCATTCTAGGCTACTTGAATACCAAAGTACCAAAGTGACGACCTGTACCTAAATTAACGCACAATTGCATCTGAATCCTCCATAGAAGATTTGATCATCCAGGCAAGAAAGATAGCGTAAGACGTCATCGGACTGGTCGATGAGATGAGAAGACGTAGAGATGCCACTCCTTCAACGGGTTCTATGGCACCGGAGAAGAAGTGTTCCTTGGAACATGCAACAATAGAGGAGTCGGCGTCGTCGGCGTTCTCGTCCACACGCGTTTGGCCATGAATATCGGTTAATTCGAACAGATGACTACCCGAATCGGACGTTTACGATTAAAAAGATGTGGATCAGCGCCGGATTTGACAACCCTCGTCGTTTACGTGCCGACATCAAACTATGACGAGGAAGTCGAAGCGCTTTATATAGACTTGAAGTTCTACAGCGAAGACCATACATTCTTTAATGTCATCAATTGAGATTTTAACGCTAAGACTGGACCAAGAAGATCATCTGAAGATTGCTGCATTGTGACCCACAGTTTAGAATGGAGCGGATAGGGTGAGCGGCTGTTTAAGTTTATCATGACGACCGTTCATGGTAGCTCGCAATTCCAGAAGTCCCGCTTTCAACACTGGACATGGGAGTCCCCAAATGAAGAGTACCACAACGAAGTAGACCACGTAATAGTAGACCGAAGGTTTTACCTAACCAATGTCATATCAAAATTCTACACGGGATCAGACCATCGTCTCCTTCGTGCAAGATTCTTTTTCTCGGCGAAGGGAGGAAAAGCCGCTAAATTCAAAAAACGAAGTCCCAAAGCCACCATAAGCTGGGATTTATTCAGTTCATTAGTCGGCTGTTGGGAAGATGTCGCTGTCGATAACATCGTCGAAGAATACGATCGGCTCATTCAACATCTTCACGTTAGCATTAGCTATGAAAACTGAGAGTTCGGAAGTCACCGAGAGACGTCTGTCTCCAGAAACACTCAAGTTGATACGCCAGCATGGAATCGTACGAACTGCAGATAACCGCGAACTAACGTTGGAACTTGCAAAACAATTCAGACAGGCGATAAAAGGAGATCTTTTTCCTACGCTCAGCAGATATTTGTGACCCATGATGCGTTTTGGTTGTAGTCCATTGAGAAGGATCTCTGTGGAAATACTGTCTGCTTAACTGGTTATTGTGTGTCATAAAAAGGTGTTCGATATGAGCAGAAGTATAATCTTCGTGAACATCTGGTAGAGTGCACTCAGGAAGTGCATTGAACGGTGCTTAGGAAGATTTCTTCGATTACCCTTCGTGAGTAGGATGATCGTGCGCCGAGTCCTCCATTAGTTTGGATTTTTCCCTTTGAAGATGGAATGTAATGTAGATTGTGAGAAGTAGATGTAATTTGTGGCTACCACCTCTAAGGAAATCGGCATTGATATTATCGGGTCCTGGAGCTCTGCCTCTCCTTACGCCTTCTTTCGCAACTGGGTCTTAAGAAGATAGAATCCCAGGAAATTCTCCACATGCAGGGATTTCGGGGTCCGAGGCAAGGATTGTGAGGTGGAAAAGGATGGTACAGAACATGTCCGCTTTGAATTCCATATCATGACTGGATGAGTAGTATTTCTATCTTCATTCAAAAGGTGTGATATTGTAGAAATAAATTTAAAAAAGAATTGATCGCAATAATAAAGATGCTGAAATATCAGTAAAACTCGGAACCTCAGGCGGGGTTCGAATCAGCGTTTACCTTCAAGGGTTGCTCACGTGCTACCGTGTACAGCAATCGAACCCCTTCGAAACCCACCTGAAGTTCCTCGTTTTGCTTAACACTCAGCATCTTCGTGGATGTATTCCCACATAGTGCCGTACGATGAGAAAGAAATAAGTACCAAATAAAAGTTAAGACGAAGTGATCACAGCTTAACAAAGAGCTTGATGTGAATTTTGCATGTGTATTATACATGGGCTACAGAGATATAGAAATATCAGCGTTCATGTGTTTTGTGACGAGATTAGTGTTTGACTGGAGGGAGCTGATTTGCTCACATAGGATATGGATAGAATTTGCATTACACTTTTTCCATCTCAGTAATAGCACAATGAACAAATAATCCGTTTTAGCGAGGCTATTCAGAGGCACAGCTTGGGACACTGTTCTCCCATGCTGCCTTGGGAAATTCTGTGTTGGCCATTTTCTCTGGAGTCGCTGCTCAGAAAGTAGCCGAGATTTATGGATATGTGTGCGTTTTCACTGCCTCCTCATCTCCTTTTTTCCATTTACACAATGTTCCATTTGCTAGTTTATTTTATTTACGTGGTTCTATGAGTATTTACGTTTATAGTATAGTAAATGACAGAGAATAGTCGCAGTGGCAGTGATACCGTCTATCACGAGCGTAGTGCTGGTTCGGCACCACCCCGAGCTCACAAGGGCTCTCATCCGTCTGCGGTCGGGAAATTGGTACCAGACCTGTATTGGCCCGCCCACTACTTCAAATTCACGCAGGAACACTCTAGAGAGCTTTCCCACTATTCGAAGGAAAATCGATTCGATCGTATTTCATGACTTCCACCACAAAAATGAGAATTCTCAGACAGCGGCCGAAGCCACGCATGGACGGTTCGAATACCGTCGTGGATGACGGAGGTAAGGAAATGCGAGAAGTGCTCCGCACAGCAGATGTGAAGATGGATTACGTAAAATAAAAAATAGGAATAAGTGTCAGGGAATTTCATTCTTTTTTACTTTCTGGTTGGTATTTCCATTTTCCGCGTTGGTTTTTATATAAACAGACGCGCCAAGCTATTCATCCCTTCCTTAGCATGTTGTTAGTTACAAGCTAGCCTAGTTTATTCCTGGGAGTTCTTTTTTTGTTTTTGTTGTTAGTCGTCTATCTATCGTTCGGTCAGATAGTCGGATTCCATGATAGTTGATAATGGATGGCCATTTTGCAGAGAAATTTGGAGCCTTAGATAATTCGCATTTTGATTTTGTATGTTTTCTCTACCAAAAAAAGCCTTAACATCCGGTCTATGCCGACTCCACCAAATTCCATGGGTTGAACCGCGCTAGTTGAAGCTCTCTTGCAAAGTTATCATCCTAGGTTGCAATTATAGTTCCAGTTATACATAAAAGTTCCTTCATCCACAGGACATGTGGACTACAAGAATCGCTGCTGTACACTCCAATTTCTGCATCGGCGATGGCTCAATACGCCAATGCATCTTAGTTGGAGCCTTGAGGCACCCAGTTCATTAACTGACATAACTAAGTGCTGAATTAATAGGACAGGACACTTGTCTACGAGTAGGTTGTGAAGCAAATGTGCCTGATTTGGTTCTTCAGGAAAAGCCTGATGAAATATGAAACCCTAAGTGAACTCTATACCTAAATGCTAGTGTTGAAAATGTCGTTAGCCCGACTACTAATGTATTATAACATTATGGGATACAGAGAATGATTTGTTTACATTGTATTTGCCTGAGCAAATATTCATGGGAGAAGATGAATCCGATTTCAGTGCACCGTTCGATTTTTCACTAATCGTTCTCACAGTGATGTGCATATTCATCATTCGAACGTGGTCAGAAAATTACGGAGATGAAATAGCGCCTTTGCAGACGATGTTCAGCAAGGCCATTAACAGCATAAGAACTGGTAACTGACTTATTGGTTGACTTTTTTAAAGTTTCAAGTAGGAAAATGTTTTGTTTATCAGATCGAGAATAAGCTCGATTTCTGTGACAGTTGGTTTGCTCTGAAGGGGAAGTCTGGATAGAAGTTCTTACTCGCCTAAATCATTTCTTCTTTACGGTTTTCATGAGGACATATTCTCTTTCCCACTTAGAATTTTATGAAATGAACGCTTTGAACATGCAAAGCACTTTAAGATGTCAATGTCTTTTGTATTGGACTGGTACAGTCGTTATTCGAAGGCTCTATGTACACTTTTGTTTTGGAGTGGACACCCGCTCTCTCACAGGTATCGGCTTCGTTTGTGCTTTTGATGGCGCTGCTGTAGCCTTGTATTCGTGTTAGCTATAGCAAGTACTAAAGCGCGACCGCATCAATTTTCGCTTACAGAGTTGATCGTCATCAGTTGTTGGTCACTGTTGTTTGGTTATGAGATTTTGAAGTGCGCAGGCCTTTTTGAGTTTAGATGACGCTATGACATAAAAATATCTCGACATACATGTGCTAAACTATGATGGTGAGGTACATAAATTTTTAGCGAGTTTATTCAGGCAATTTTTGCTGCCATTCCACATGGTTACATTTTTGCTGGCTTTATGGTTGCCACCATGATGGGATCATCAATTTTTAAACTTCTCACGAAAACTCGTCACCCAGAGGAATTTATGAGGTAAAGTTGTTCTTGGGTTTTTTCCATCACCATATTAACAAAAAAGAACAGTGACTACCACGGAGTACATGGAAATGAACTGAGTAGAGTCACTGAATGAATACGTGCGACGGTCTCATTCACTTCTTAGGAGCAAAACCTAATGTTACATTTGTTACTCCACAATCTCCCGTACTCCACGTTGAAAGACACGTAGAATTTGTGTTGACAAATGCACTCGTGGACGACAGACTTTTTTGCCAGTTTTTTTGGCTGTGGAAATTATTTTTGTCGTAAAAATGCTCAATGGTTCACCGCGCACACCATAGTCGTTTTACATAAGCGCAACTAAGCCGATCTACCCTCACGTTGAACAACAGTATATTGGCAGATTATGAATAGAAAGACGCGAACTCTAAGTGGACCGAACTAAAGTTTCATTTTTCTTTTTTTAACTTCAGTACCTGCCTAATGCGAGTTATATGATAGCCATTACTTCACTAGAGCGAATCTAATTTACGATGACATGAACATTCATTCACAAGTTCTTTTAAGGTACGTTCTCGTGGTGTCAGCAGCTTGTATGGCCGTGCCAATCATCGTACCAACAAGTGCTGCGCTCATCTTCATTGCTTTCTTGACGTTCGAGGTAAATCTCGTTAACTTTGTAGGTAATTGGACTTTGGGAATTTCTCCCGTTAATCGCCAAGATGGCGCAATGGTCGGAGACACCCTGCAACACACACATGGAATCGATCCCCGCGCCCAAGACCCACCAAGCACTCCATCCCACAGGAGTCGCCAAATTGGTACCAGACTTGTCTGAGAGGATAATAGCACTGGTTCGATTCATCGGTAGACCGAGGCGAGTGATCGTAAAGGCCAAATATGCATTCAATCACCTCCAAACGATGCTTAATGAAGTCGAATGCATGGCGCATCCCTTTAGGGATTGACCAATGCCGAGAGCTTTATCCTCTTTTTAAACCTCTTCCAAAAAAACGCAAGTGGTTTGTAGTCATATGAGCGGACAATGTTCGGTACTTAGTAAGTGTACGATAGGGCCACAAAGATTTATAAAGTATATGTAGCTAAATATCACCATAGGATGTGTAGGTATCACTTGCAATCCAAAATTATTGGGAAGCTGCTTAAAAGAGGAGGAGGTAGCGGTGCCAAAATTCAAAAATATGTCTTTGAAAAGAGCAAAGAAGTACCTTTTTCTACTTGGAAGTGGTCTATATTGCAAAAAATTGACCGGATACAAAGTTACCCAAAGTTATTTTCACCATTCTGCGCTCTTTACACGATTGCATCGCCTTCCTTTGCATTGCTTTATTCGTTTACTGTCTTCAGTTCGCTGTTTCTTCTTGCTAGCGTGCTTACCGATGTTAGGTTTTGTAAAAGTGAAAATCAGTATTCACGTGTTTCAATAGATGAATAATTGTAATTTGATTTCAAAAACAGACTTCAGGCTCTGTTCTCATTAACTGCTCTTAATGACCTGCCGCAAGGTTGTTAACTTTCTGGCTGATCTTGGATTCACTTGCACCTCAAATGGACAACGTTAAAGTGTGAAACTTACCCATAGTAAACACTTAGTGCTTTTGAACTCAGCTAGATGAAAGGAATGAATTTGTTATAGGATTCTATGGCACACGCTTACCATTCCTGAATATGGAAAAAGTAAACGGTAAAAGGTGTATACAAGTCGTTTTATCAAAGTTGAGACGTTGCGCTTGGGTTTTTCACTTTTCACTGAAATCATAGAACTCTCCAACACACGAACAGTTCATTTGAACACAATATATCTGGGATATTAGCGGCTACATAAATCCTAACGAGGTGGCTTGTGTTTAGGTATGTGTGGGCATCTTCTGGCCTGCAATGGGTTGCCTTCGTGGCGCTTACCTGCCGGAGGAGACACGCTCTACCGTCATCAATCTCTTCAGAATTCCTCTCAATCTGATCGTGATATTCATTTTGTGGCAGGTCAGCATTCCGGTTTTAAACCCATGTGATGTGTATATTTCACAGTGTTATGCGGCTCTGTTTTGAATTCTTCGCAAGAAATATTTGCAGTGACTTGCATAATTTTTTTAAAGAAAATCTTCAAAATCTACAAGAATTTTTTATAAAAAGCGGGAGTTTTTATTTTTCCATGATTTTTCTGAAATAATGAATGAATAATAATGAATGAAAAAATAATGAAATACTTGCTTAGACACGTAAACAACCTGGTAAACCGGCATTGCGAAAGTGATCAGTGGCCTCTATTGTTGCTTGACTTGAGTCATTGGGAATTTAAAAAAGACAAGGGCGGGGTCGGACCTTTAGCCCCAATAAGAATTTACCAAAGAGCTCAGCAGGTTGCATTCTTGTCAATCACTTATTCATCCAGAACAATCTGTTCTGTTTTAGAACAAATGTTCTTCGGTGCTGCTCGAAAAGTTAACATGCTTTCGGCAAATCAGAGATTGGGGGGCAGTCCTTCATCAGAGCTTCTCACTGATATGTCCCAATTCAGTTACTACATACCTTACTGCAGTGTGGCGATGAGCAGCTTTTCCTCTTCTATATTATACTGCCCTGTCGTACTCCTTTATCAGATGGAATTTGTTGAAAAAGGTGGATCGTCATTGTACATGCGAACCGTTTTCCCGTTTTCTATTACAGATGTCAGCCGTTTTGTATGAAACACATCTATACTTTGACCAACTGGGTGGAGCAGGATGGTTTCCACACTGCCCGATTTCGTAATTAACGAAAATTAAGACAAAGGTGAAGTGATATTTCCAGCAAACATAAACGACTCTCGAAAGTGTTATATTGTGGTCCATACAGCTAAATCCATTTCAAAATCAATTTTGCCGAATAAGTTGAGTTTCAAGTCGGTTTAGTTTTAAGTTGTTTTCCAAGTAAGGCTAGTCACTGCTTCGAATCTGACCCAGGTCCGAGGTCTGCAAGTGCCTCACCATCATTGCGGTTTATTTCCTTTAAATTGGTAGAGATAGGAGTAAAGGTAAATTTCACGAAAAGCTCCTGTAGAGCACTTACCGTAAGCTGGTCGGACGTTAGTTGAGCAGTTTACCCTGTTTTTGGGCAAAAGGATTGATTGCGAAATTATCCACTGATTGGATATCCGTTCCGTCTAGAGATGTGATGTCGTGTGTGTTGTGGCCATCGCGTGCAACTGGTGGTTGCCCTTTCCTCATACGAGATAGTCGAAATACTACGTGGCTAGGTGTACTAAGATTCAAACTGATAACTGTATCACGAACTTCTGCGTAAAGAAGTCTTGATATCATTGTTCCACTTGAAAAGTGGAGTTTGGTAATTATGCATTCAAAGACGGTTGTTTGCTATTCATTTTATCTCACAGCAAGAAACTGCGGCTCGTTGAACAGTAGCGAAAACAAGATGAAGCTGAATGTTGGACTCGCAAACACATCGCCGGCATTTCTCTATGCTTCTCCTTTGTTGTGCTCCCCTTAAAACCATTTCCTGTTAGTATCAATGAAGATCCTCCTGTACTGCCTTTGTGTAAATAGGGTTGACAGTAAATCTTCCAGTCTGCGTAGCAGCGACATTTGTTGTAAGCAGCTTTTTTCGTAAGCTCCTTGTTGTTGCTTGATAAACGTTCACAGATTGCCTTTTGATTAAGAAGAACTTGTTAGTTTTGTTTCAAAAGCGCTCAGAGAAACTTGTAGTGTTCTGTGGGATCGTCGGTTTTGCAACACTTGCGGTTGTATAAGACATGACTGCAATTGGTTTCGCCATATAGGTTTTGTTTTCTTTCTTCCTCGCGATGATTGGGTTTCTCCTCCATTTTTTTTTCCTCCTTGAAGCGAAACTTTGCGCGATGGTAGCGGTAATTTTTTCCGGCGAAAAGAGGTAGAGCGATACGGACGTCAAAATAGGCTATCGTTTTCTTTTGCAAAGTCTTGATCGGTCTCCTCAAATGCGGCACCATTCGGGAATTCCCACCTCTAACTGTGGTCTTTCTTCTTGAAAAAGCGACTTCAATGGAAAAAAATTGTAATGTTGTAAGTATGCGACGGAGATTTATGCGATATTATAGAGTTATGATAATTCCTTCGAATCAATTTGGAAAGATTACACATTACTTTCCAATAATGGATTTTGCCAATCTGAGGCTACATCAAGTGTTTTAAATAACAACATCTTAAGTTTTTTTTTTTACTACGCATTCTATTTTCATGGTAAGGGTACGATGTGAACTGCAACCGTTAAGTTGCTGAGATATGAACAAAATGCGGAACCTCAACTGGGTTTCGAACCTGCGATTACCGTTTCTGTGGGCTCACATGCTATCCACCACACCAATGTTTTGGGTAGAACTTATCTGAAGCTTAAACCATTGATGGCTAGTGACAGTATCGAAGAGTTTTCACCCGAAGTTTTCATTTGATATCATTGTTTGTAATAATTGCTGAAGTTCTAGACAAATTGGATTAAAACTGCCACAGTTTTAAAGTTTAAAGCAGCTTGCTGCACTGCTATTCATAGAGTATTTCGGAGAACGGATGTCTTGTGCTCACAGTTAACTGTCTGTTATTTCAGGACTACTCAATGAAGGTGATCTTCCAGTTCTGTGTGGTGTTCCTCCTACTGGCCGCGGTAGCACAGCACGTGTTCTATAGGTTGGTGTGCGCAAATCGCAGAACTGTACAGCACGGAGACTGAAGAAGTACAATTTCGCGCAAATACGGCTCAACAACTGTCTTGTTATGATCCACTGCAATCACCAGATTTATTTCGTACCTATAAATTAATGGAATTTCATAAGACATAAAGGCGCTGATAGGTTTTTCTGGTTATTCTTATCCCAAAGCGGACGGTGCGCATTGTGCACAGTCGCACGTGGAGGAAAGCAGTCGGGCCGTTCAACGACGAGCCATTATACTTTAGTTCATAGTGAGCTTTATCAATTGAGATAAAGGGTGTAAAGTTCTATAGACGCGTATAGAGCGCAATTTATCTTGTTCCACCAAGACAAAACTCTGATTTTGTGGAGGCTGCGAGACGTATTTTTTCATTTTTCCTTACATCAAAGCTCCTGTTTCTAACATGAAAGCGATCGAACAGTCGGATTTCGTAGAACAGGCTGTGGTGATGTCCCATCACATGTTGATGTTTGCGCCCGCCGCATTCACGTCGACAGGTTAAAAATGTAAATTTCGCTTTGAATTATTTATGATTTTTGGTCTTTAAATAGATTTAAAATTTTTATTTTTTAATTTCATTTTATATGACTCGTGTTCACGTCGGCGGTACGGATCCCAGCACTTCTCACATTCGATTCGTTTCGTCGCATCCATATTCTACGAAGATCTTCTAACTTCTACGTGTGAATTCGTCTACTGCTTGACGATTTTCCATTTCGTCTTGAATTTCGTAGAATGCTTGTTTAGTCGATTCTTCCTGGAGTCCTGAGATAACTGGGCTGGAGCGTTCCCAATTGAATTGCAGGGAGTGATTTTTACCGGACAAGTCCGGTACCAGTTTCTCGTCACCGGAGGTACGAGAGGCTTGGTTGATCCGGAGCGGAATCGAACTGCCAGCATGCTCGTGATGACCGCCATCACTACCATTGTGCTATCTTCACCGATTTAAAATAGAAGATAAACTTCAGGAAAATCATTTATATGCCTATAACATTGGCAGTCTTCTACAATACTATTGAGTTCTAAATCCCTTAATTTCTCTGGCTATTGAAACCACCACAGTTATCAGAGAGCCAGCATGGAACGTTATGGGTAAAATTTCTGATCCCTTCCGGCTTGTTTCTATGTACCACTTTTGCAGATTTTTACCTTACGGTGGGAATATTTTCTCCTCAGACGTTAATAGCCTATGGTATAAATTTGGTCTGTGCAGACAACCTCACTATTTCGTCAGTAATCACGTCATCCATGTGGACTTCCAGTAAAGAGCGCTTACTGATGATCGATCAGATAGTGGATTCCGTTTCTTCAAACATCCCGTCAGAAACAAAACTTGGTAGACGATTACTTTGTAGTCCGATTATTTTGAACTAGAAGCCTAGTGGATAATTCTGCGCAGTGAAAAATGCCTAACCAAGTATTTTTTACAGTTCATTTGTAGTACCCACTATCCGAATACGAATGAATGCTCTGCGCTAGCCAAGTTAATTTGATCGTGTTGTTGTTCTGCCTGTCCTTTACGAATCCTGCGGTGGTCTCCAGGAGAAGAAGGAATGTGGAACTCTACGTCTATGCATCTAGTGATAAAGAAGCACCTGTGACATAAGCCGTTTTGTGTGTAACTGGGTGGAGTTCGTCCCTTCTCGATCAAATCTCTATACCACATATCTACCCAATTCGTTATTTGATTTGCCCAGTCATCGTAGGTATAATGTTATTGTGGTGGTGAAAATGTGGGAAACTCTAGTAAACTATTCGTGATTTTTTGATCTTCAAAGCTTATTTTGTTAGGGTTCAAGATTCGTTTTCTTCTTTGTTGGGATGATACAGTGCCACATTGTCGGGGTTTTCTTCGATTGTTACAAGAAATATATAAGTCATAACTTTTCCAGAAACACCTTACATTCCATCCAAAACGAGAAGATACCGATCGCCATGGAAGCGTGATATCAGTACCGAGTCTCTGCAACCTACCTCTTCTAATGTCTCATTTCACCCACTCTTCTACGTGACGGTGGACCTGGGCGTTCTGATTCCATAGTAGTGATTTCCTTTAGTGGAAAAGTTTATTTTGCTGGACCTAAATCTTTAAGAGAACTTCTAGGGCAGTGTTTTTTAGCTGTGGTTAAGTTTTTGTGTAGTGTTCATGTTGAAATGTTTAGTACTTCTTTGATATTCTGAGCTCATCTGGATTGTGAGCTAAGAAGCCGTCAATGAAATCTTGAAGAGTTTTTATCAGTCGGCTTTTCTTCATGAAATAAATTCGATTTATTCCAGGGCTCCTCATCAGAGATGGAGGACCAGCATAAATAATAAATCAATGAGGGCATTATGACATCCCATTGACCGACACTGAAGGTCGGTGCTGGC